TAAAATAGAATGCCATTATTTTCTGTCTTCTGTGCAGGTGTTCTGTATTAGAGGCTTTGTGATGAATCACTGATTGAGCGATGCAGCTGTTCTCAATCGTATCTTTTATCTTTTTTTCATTGTCACAGAGCTCCTGGGTTCTGCAAAGAGAGTGAATGTAAATTTTCAAGACGCGGATGGGTAAGCAAATTACTCTGTTTCCAATTACATTATCACATCTCTGTACAGACTGTGCCTATGGTTTCAGAAAGGAGTACAAAGTTTCCAAGCAAGCTGGTGGCAAAGCTTAAAGCAGACCTGTCATAAACCTGAGCCCATTCGTATTAACCATATGAGAAAATCAGACTTTCTATAATGACCCCCTTCAGGAAGTCTAGCATTATCCAACCCCTTTTCTCAGCAGAATGGACATGCCTCTTTCTGTCCAGAGAGACCGTCATTAAGGCAGTGGCCTCACAAGTGGGCATTACAGAAGCAGTCTGCATGTTATCACTGTCCACCCAGTAATGGTCATTACCCTAGAAGTGATGTTAAAGTCAAACGGTTTTTAAGCTATTTCAAATGCACATACAATGGATGCTGCTCCCTGTTGTTCAAAAATGTTAAATTCCTGCAGAATTTTCTGGTCCAGATATCCTGTTTTAGGGTGGCTCCTTTACCTTTCAGAGTCCTGTGGAGCCACCGTTGTGTGTGGCAGGCACAGCAAGACAGAACACTCCCCTACTCCCTGCTCCTCCATCCTCCCTTCTCCAAGCTAGTAGATGGACATCTACTGTAGATTTTGCTGTCCCTTGTGATCTTGTACTGGACAGGAGGTTCAGGAAAGAGGAGCTGAAAGAGTTGAAGCTGTTCAGAAGCATGATGGCTGTAAGCATTTGGGCGAAAATGTAAAGAAATACTTTGCTGGGCAATGTGTGTTTGTTTGATCTGGGTTCCCTATTGAAAAAAACATTTGAGAGTTTAACACTACTTGAAATACTTATTTCCTGTGCTCCTCAGCTCCATCTAGTGGCTATAATATGGCATTTTCAGGATATTACATTTGAAAATCTACGAAGAATATTCGTTTTTTGCCTCTATTCGCACTAAACAGACCAAAAAGAAAAGGGTGGCAGGTGCATTACATAAATGGTTAATTGTCAATGATTTCAAAAAGACGAATCTGGGGGAAAAAAATCTGGACTGACTCTTGAATTTAAAACAACCATTTTAAATTTTGGAAAGTCCTGCCTGAGAGCAGATTTCCCAAAGTACCTTGAATATCTTATCCTATGTCCACCCTATTTTGAAGGATTAAACATCTATGACTTGCCCTGCCCCCGAGCAACTCAGTAATGACTATTTTATTGGATAGTGGGGTGGCAGGTTGGATCCTGTGTCACTATCGCGTACCTGGTGGAGGACCGATTAGCTGAGGAGGCCTCCCTTGCGGCTCTTGTCTCACACCCCTGAGAGTGGGAACAGGGAGCGAGTAGACAGAGAGAAGCACGAGTGCCAAAGCATTCAGACACGGTGCCTGGTAGAAGTCCGGCAACTGGATCCCTGGAAGGATGAGCAGGGCTGGTGCACAGCTGTGATGTCAGCGAGGTTTGCAGCAGAAACTGGAGCGAGGTCAAATAAGCCAGGGGTCAAGCCAGACGGTCAGCACGGTACAGAAGGAGCAGGCAGAGGCAGATAACAAGCAGAGGTCAGGGGCAGGCAGCAATCAGTCGAAGTCAGCAGCAATCCGGGTCGAGGTAACAGGCAACAGATCAGCAGGAACACAAGCAGAAGCTGAAAGACCCTTCAGCACTGAGCCACTTGGCCAGCTGGTTTAAATAGGAACATCTATTAGAGGGCCGTGAGTCATTTCCTGTGTGCCACTGTGTCACTTCCTGTGCGCCACATTCCGTTGTGCATGCGTGCTAACGCATGTTTTCCAGCAACCCGGAAGACTGGGACCCGCACTTGCGTAGTAACGCGCAAGCTCCCGGCTATGGCTTTACAGTCACCCTATTTCGAAGGGTTAAATGTCTAACGTGCCCTTCACCTGAGCAACTCAGTAACCCTTAATGGCTATTTCATTGGATAGTGGGGTGGCGTTGGGATCCTGTGTCACCCTATTTCAAAGGGTTAAATGTCTATGACTGGTCCTACCCCTGAGCAACCCACTAACCAGCAATGGCTATTTCATTGGATAGTGGGGTGGCAGGTGGGAGCAGCTTGGCTCCAGTAATTCTAAGAAGCAGAGTGCTTACTCAGATTTCCTGGAGCTAAGTCACACCCACTATCCAATGAAATCCCCCTAACCGGTTACTGAGTGTTCTCATTGGATACTAAAACTAAAGGTGGGCACAAAGATGGCTTCTTCTGGACAGTAATATGAATAGCAGACATCTTCTCATGCCTGTTTTTAGGCAGCACATTTAGCTTTAAAGGTTTTCGAAAGGCTGACAGGTTCCCTTTAAGTTTTCAATGCACGGAGTTGCCTCGCCATGGCTCTGGAAGCACAGCGAATATAAATTTACTGTTGTCAAGTACTAGCCTGCCCTCCAGTTCCAACAGCCGTGCTATTATAGCAACAAGCACTGCTGATATTAACATCTGCAGCCAGGAGATTTGCAGTCACAGGATGCTGATTATTTTTTAACAAGTTCAAGATCTCTCTGCTTCTTCAGGGCAAATCCTATTTGGTAGATGCGTGAGATTTGTATTCAGCAGGGAGAGCCGGCGCGGATAGTCACCGGTTACCCCCGCCAAACGTGTTGTCACACCAGTAACAGCGCACTTCACCAAACAAGACAAAGATAAAGCCCTGAACTGAGCGCAAGTCCCAGTGGCAACACAATGTCACAATACACTGCATGCACGGCACGTGTCGGTTTACATAGTCACGGGTCAGATCTGTAGTGTGGGACTGAAGATCTTTCTGCAAATTGGAAAAAGAAATCTTCTGGTTTATATAAGATTAAAATCTTGTTATAGTGATAAATAGCACAGGCTGTTGTATGCATTATTTTTTTTAGCAGTTGCGATTATGCATATTACACATTCTTAACATTCATTTTCCTGCTTTTTTTTATTTTTTTATTCTTGTGTTTTCTTTTAAAGATCCATATCTTTAAAATGACAACAAACACACCTTTAGAAATGTTTAGTAATGGCAATCCACACACAGATACTTCTAGATAATTGCCGGCTTTTTATTCTTTGCATTCCTTATTTCTCTTTTTCTCCCTATTCTTCTCACAGCGGCCATTTTTACTAAGGGCAGATTCATCCATCTCCCTGTACTTCCTGGAACACTGGCACATGTGACTAGGACATGTGACCATGCACGTCATCTCAGGGGAGGAAAATGCCTTTCCCTGAGATCTCGTAAGATTACAGATGAGATTTCCCAGCAATATCTGCTGATATAACCTTCTTAGGATGCAATGCTTGGGCACAGTACATCACTCATGCCCGAGAGGATCAGGAAGTAGAAAAACAATAATTGCAAGTAAATTAAAAATATGTTTGTTTAACTAATGAATGTACAATGATTTCATATCAGCATGCAGAGGTGCATGCTGATGTGATTTTTAGTGGAAGGAGGTAAAGGTCCGCGTTAACTTAAAAATTAAATTTTCATCATTTAAATGCCTTCAAGAGAACCTGTACTGGCCACAGAAAATAGAAAGTAATGTTAAAGGAGTTGTAAAGTCCCAGCATATCCTCCCCTGTTATCACACCAGCATTGTAGTAGGAATACATACTGGAGTTGTGTCTGATAATACAATCAAAGCTTACTTGAAAAAATCCCTTTTATGTAGTGAGTGCCGCCTTCCGTCTGCCCATCACTTTCACCAACTTTTTCACACACACACACACACACACACACACACACACACTTGCAATGGAAAATTGTATACTTACCAATCGGTAATTTTCCTTTCCTGACGCCAATACATGGCAACAAACGAATTGGTTTGGAACATGGACCAGGTCACTGCCTTCCAGTATAACTCTGGAGATACACCACTAAATCTGTCCATAAAGATGAAATCCTTCAGTAGAGTGAACCCAGAGATTGATCTGTGGCTCCATCTGTTTGACCAGCCACAATGCATGTGACCCAGTGGATGCAGAGAGCCCCTTTCTGATACCGCCAGAAAGATGAACAGATTGACCTGACAGAAGGTTGACCTCCATTTACTTTCTCAGCATAGCAGCCACATTTAAGGCATGAGCTGAAACAAAACTTTATTCTTGAATACAGGTATTCCTCACTTAACGACCGAGTTCCGTTCCTACGACCAGGTCATTAAACGAATTGGTCGTTAAGCGAGGAACTGTATACAGTACTGTACTGCATTAGTACAGTACTGTATAGTGTTGGAGATGTACAGTACTGTACAGTGTACTGTAAAGCAGTCAAGAAAATACGGAGACCCGCAGCGGAGAACGGAGTACAGCACTGAAGGCGGTGAGACGTCGCACTGCCGCTGCTACGTTCCCGCACGCATGGTTGGAGAGCTGGTCATAAGTGCGAGTGGTCGTAAAACAGATAAGTCGTTAAGTGAGGAATGTCTGTATTCAAAGAAGATTCAGCCAGAGCAAAGCAGGACTGCAAAGCCCTAGGAAATAGTAGCACATTCACTACTTAAACTCATTGAAAGAAAATGGAGTGGATCCTACTTGTCATCTTGTCCATGCATGTGATCATCCCAGTACAACCATAGTTTCTGATGATGCAGCTGAGTCATGGTTTCTTCAGAGTCAGAACACCAGGAAGCCAAGCAGGTGTCTTCAGCATGCCGCCGTGATGGAAGAAGCAAACGAATATGAAAGGGCCCCAAGAGACCCTTTCCTGCACACTAAATTCTGAAGATATGGGGGAGGCTTCCCTTATAAAATAGCATTTAGCCACCTGAACAAAAGGAACTTCGCAACAAGGAGAGGCTGAACCTGTGCGGCAGGCCAGAAGCAACCGGCAAGGTGAGGGTAAAAATCAAAAGTTATAAAATTTACCAAAAACCACTATACCTTCCACTGAAATCATGGAAAAGGCTTTGGGTTTAAAGTGATTGACTAAAACAAACTGGATTTATATGATTTGCTTCATTCAGGGGATTTTCTTTTCTTTTTTACTTTTTGTACTTCCTTTTTGATCAGTAATTTTCTCTGTCGGTTGGATGCCGGCCCTGAGTGTGAAGCCT